AAGGCAGACGCTTAACTGACTGAGCCAGAGGAGGCATCCTGAAATGTTCTAGTTTTTGTTAATGCAGAGATGACTATTACTTCTGCTTCTTCTTCTTCTTCTTCTTCTTTTTTTTTTTTTGGATGACTATTACTTCTTATTCGATGTAACCAACTGAGGTCAAGTTGAGAAAGGGGCATAGACTTAGTGCAGTGAGACCCGGGAGAGACATAGAACGTCCAGGGGTCTCAAGAACTCTTGATGACACAACCCCACGCGTCTCTGGTTGAACTTCTTATTTTGTCAATGCATAAACAAGAAGGTTACTTTGAATCCTTTGACAGTTAATAGATCTTTATTTCTTTAGGATCAGTTATTAGAGCTTTATTAATTTCCTTTGGTGTTGTCATATCTGCCTTCATGATCCTTGATTTTTTTTACATTATTATCTACACATTTGAATAATTAGACTTTACAGGTTTGCTTTGACAGACTCAGTTCTTCACCAGTCAGTTCAGTTTGGGTTTCTGGGTGTCTGCTGGTATGTCCTTGGGCAGATATAGCCTGCTATTACAGTCAATTTTTATGTGATGCAACTGTTCAAATTCTAAGGAAGGACATGGGGGATTGTGCCATTGGCTGAGAATAGCTGGATAGGACTGCTGGCTTGGTTTTCTATCGAAGTGAGGCTGGAGGACAGGCTCCATGGTTGCCTGGATTCTCTGGTGAGTCTTACTAAATGGTCTAGACTGGGTACAGGATTCAGTAGTAGATGGGACTATAAACAAGCTTCCCTGATGTAGAAAGGCAGCAGGATTGAACCCAGCTTATTGTTTGGGGACCTGAATCAGGCCAGAGTGTGTACTGAATTCCTTGCTCAGGTGAGACAACTGATTTTTCCCTTTGGATGGGGAAAGTTGTGGGCTGTACTCTCTGTTCAAGTGCCACTGTACGTAGGGCAGTTGAATGGGATATGTAGCCTCCTATGTACTCTGGTTAGGTTCCTTCGTTGGATAAGCTAAAGGCTGTAGTCAGCGAGGAGCAGGAGTATAAATTAGATTCCCTACCTGGGCACAGCGGGAAAAGTAGCTTTAAAGCAGGTAAAGCTCATTGTTTGCTAACTCAAGCCAACCCGCACTGCAAGTTCCCTGAGTGAACAGGGCCACTAGCTTTGCTGCCTGCCTACCTCGATTGAGTGGCTTCAGTGCCACTGGGCCAGAGTAGTTTCCAGGAGTTGTCTCCAGCCCTTACTGGTCAGATGGGGCCAGAAGGCACTCACAGGAGTTAGGGCTATGCCTTAGCTCCCTTGCCTGCATGGGAGTGAAAGGGACAGCTCTAGGCTATTCTAAATTTCCCAAGTAGGTTCTGTAATTGAAAAGCCTCTTTTAGCCTTGACTATGAATCTATGAATTGATCCCTCTGCCTGTGCATATCATGGGAATGCTCAATGCCCAGTACTGGTTTTTCTGGGACCATTCACCTCTGCCTGCCTGCCTCTTGGCTTGAGTGCCGCTGGCCCACACTGATTCCAGCAGTTGTTACTAGTATTTCTGATCAGATGGGGCCAAAAACCTTTCCATAGTGGGTGGGACTGGTTTAGCTCCTTGCCTGAATGAGGGCAAATGGGGCTCTAAGGTCTGCAAACCTTGTTTGAAGATCAGAATCAGACGGTTCCACACTCTGCTGAGTTCCCGGGTGAGTGCATTCCTGGTTTGGTTCTGCAAAGCTGCTAGTTGGGATTTCTACTTGGGCATGGCATGTATGAACTTAGTCTGTCAAGATCCACTTGCTAGATATTGCAAGCCTCTCCTCTCTTCTCCATCACCGTCAGGTTCCCAGTGGTTGAGACACAGGTTCTCCTGCAATCATTGTGGTGAAAGATCAAGGTATGGGGTTCCACAATGCTTGGGAGATGGTTGTCCCCTTTGGGTTCTCTTTTCACACTGGAGAAGCTGGAGGCTCAGGGGAAACCTCTGTATGATGCTATGCTGACCTTGGGAAGGGGCAATGTGGTCACTGTGTAGTTACTTCTCTTACCTTTTTTTTTTTTTTTTTAACATTTTACTTATTTATTTGAGAGAAAGAGTGAGAGAGAGAGAGGGAGAAGCAGACTCCCTGCTAAGCAGGGTGCCTGATGTGGGACTAGATCCTGGGAATTCAGGATCATGACCTAAGCTGAAAGCAGTTGCTTAACCAACTGAGCCACCCAGGCGCCCCTTCCCTTCTAATGCAGTCTTTTGGTTTCTGTGGTACAGGTGGTGCTCCAGCCTCACCCACATGTTGTAGGATTCTCTCAGTAGTGTCTTGTTTTCTAATAGTTGTTAATTGTGCTTGTGAGGAGGAGCAAAGTGAGGAAGAAATTATGTTGCTTACTGTATCGGCTTACTGTATTATTTTTATGTAGCTGCTGGTGACATAGATGGAAAGTTCTAGTTCTTATATTTTAATAACTTCATCTGTTGGGAAGATCCATCTGAACAAATTAAGTGTAATTAAATCAGTGTTAACTACTATAATAAAGTTATGAATAAAATAGTATGGAAGCAGAGAACAGGGAGCCTCTAGTTGTTTTGGGGGTGATTAGAAGTGGCTTCAAAGGTGACCCATGAACTGAGTCCTGAAGAGTGAGTAGATATTTTCCAGGGGAAGGATATTCCAAAGAAATATGAAACCAGTAGGAGATTCTATTGAAATCACAATAACGATACCAATGGTAGAAGTTCATATGTGTTTCAAGAATGGTGAGAAGCAGAAGGAGAATAGGAAGTGGTTAAATTTTTTTGGTGAATAAGACTTGGCACTTACTGTATGTGCAAGGAAAACAATGGAGTCAGAACTACTACAAAACCATCCTTTGGCAGACCCTAAGTCTCTCTATTAAAAATGGGGTGTCTGAACTATCATATGATCTCCCTGATATGAGGGAGAGGAGATGCAACATGGGGGATTAATGGGGTAGGAGAAGAGTAAATGAAACAAGATGGGATTGGGAGGGAGACAAACCATAAGTGACTCTTAATCTCACAAAACAAACTGAGGGTTGCTGGAGGGAGGGGGGTTGGGAGAGGGGGGTGGGGTTATGGACATTGGGGAGGGTATGTGCTATGGTGAGTGCTGTGAAGTGTGTAAACCTGGCGATTCACAGACCTGTACCCCTGGGGATAAAAATATATTATATGTTTATAAAAAATAAAATAAAAAAAAAAGAAAATTATAATACCCTAGAACAACATTTTAATAAAGTTTAGTTAGCACATTTAAAAAAAAATGGGGTGTCTGTACTCTTCAGATATTAATTGGAAGTATGGTCTGGGTTTTCTCCATGAAAGGCTGTAAATCTATATTTTAGTTAGGGTTTTGCTCTTTTAGATTACTATACAATGTCTTTGAAAGCCCTCAATTCTTCTTTTTTTCTTCTTTATTGCCTCAGAAAAAAGAACCTTCTTTAAAAAGCTGTATGATAGTGTTGGATATAGATCATTTTAACAAAGGTCACAGCATTTTTGAGTAGTAAACATGATCACCAGATCTTTCCAGTATCTAGATGTTTGGCAGTCATGCTTCCATCACTGGAGTAAATAACTAGAGCTCCAGGGGCATATGACAGCTGTGGGCCTACGAAGCCTGTGGCTATCTGGGAAGAGCCAGATGCACCCTGTTTCTCCTCAGCGATAGCCAAGAAGAGAATCAAGGCAAAAATTCCCTTTTGCTTGAATCAACCAGACTACTGAGCAAGTATAGAGCTTGCCTGGTCTACTGGCTTCAATTTGGCCTTAGAAACCAAATGGGTAATAGGAGATTTATTTGAGAAGTTATTGTCAAGAATCTAAGATTCTTTAAGAATCTTTAAGATTCTTTTCAATTGCAGCTCAGCAGCACCTGGATACTACTCCTAGAGTATTTCCTCCTGTGATGATAGTATCAGCAATTAACATACTTGTATTTATAAAGCTTTATTCTTCAGGGAGCACTCAACCCTTGGGAGAGGTCAGCTAATTAATTTCTGTGATGTTTCAGATTAGACTGTTGCATGTTTTATGACCTTGAAGATTACAGTGGTTATTAAGTCACTAAAATATTAAATCACTTTTGTAAGGATTCCTAGTAAGGAAGCAATAGAAAATAGGCAAATAACTAAAATCTTGAACATTCTGAGAAGTGTTTCCAGCACTGCCCCAAAGAAGGACCCTCACAGGAGTGTCCATTCTGTTTTAAGCAAGGAGAAAAAAATTTAAAAAAGGGAGGCCACATTATTAACAGAGATATAACGTGCTTCAACATTCTCAGGAAATATCTTATACTAATATGAAGTCATCTGAAATTGCCCATCTCTCTGGAACACTGAAGATAATTTCTTAGCAGCTATGAAATTGTTAGGTCAGTAACTGCCTGACAGTACACACTTCTCTTCCCCTTCAGAGCCAGCATCCTAGTTCAAGACTCCATCATCTTTCACTTGAACAATCCTCTATTTTATACTTGCTCTTCTACTGTCTCTTCTCCACATAGCTGTTGGAGTGGTTGTTTAAAGTCATAATTCAAATTGTATCACTTTTGCCTAAAATCCTCCACTGGCATCCATTTGTATTTAAAATAAAATGCATATTCCATAAAATGAATTCCATACCATGACCTAAAATACCTTAAAATCTGGTTGTTACTCACCTCCTTGGCCCACTCAAAACTGCTCTGTTAGCCTGAAATTTAAGTTTTCCAACAATTAACTCTCCCAACCTCTTGTTTCATCATTGATTCACTCACATATATACATATTCAATATATACTTAGTATCTACCTTCTGCCAGGCACTTACTAGGTCCTGGCACTAAGGAGCTGAATGAGCTAGGTCTTTGGGGGAAGGAGGGATAAACAGAAATGTGAAAATCCTTATTTTGCCAATGCTCTCAGAACAATCAAACATTTGTCAAATTTGAGCAGGAAGCTTAGTTATTTTATGACCCAAGATTTTTCTTTCATGACAAATAATAGACTTTAATACTTATGATGTATCTTTTAGCTACCTGATTTCTCCAAATACTGCTCCAGCTTTCAAAGTAACCAGAACCTGAGTACCATCAGAGCCTCCAAGAACTTGGACTTCACCTTGCTTGATGATATACATTTCCTTGCCAATTTCTCCCTGTATGCCAAATATAAAGAGGAAATGGTAGTTACTTAACTCTTGACAATTATGCCCCCAAATTAAGAAATATAAAACGTTCCAGAGGAATAAATATAAATAAAAAAAGCAAGAAATATCAATGTAAAAGTGATTAAGACTTGAGGTAGTTATGGATATTGGTTGGACACATCACATGAAAGGAACTTAGTAGGGAAGTGATACTTCCCAATATGGAAGCATTGTATGCCACTACTAGACAGGTAAGCACTGTATGGCACCATTGGCAAGGTAAAGATGTTTCAGTCAGCACACAGTTTCAGGGACAAGCACAGGTAGAGGAAATAACTGGTTGTAACCATAGTCACCCAGGCTTTGGTGGCTACTGCTATGCTTAGAAGAAGGTGCTTGGTGTTTAAAAAGAGCATGGGCTATAGTCTTTCAAAGGTCAACTCCACTCTTATGCCTGTAACACTGAGGTCTGAATTTAGTAATTGGAGCACAGGAGACCTTTAAGCTATTATTCTTGTTCCATATTGAAAAGAAAGTGTTAATGCATCAGGTTGTTTTACTTATCTCTGGGGACTCTCTTTTGCTTATCTCTGGGGACTCTTGGAGCCAGGGCAATGATGCTTGTTCAAGCCCTGAGAATTAAACTCCTGGAATGTTCACAGAGTCACTGGTTAATAGTGTTATTCTGTATGCCTGGGGCAGTGTAGCAGGATGTACCAGGCTGTCAACATTGTTTAATGTAAACACAAAGATTTATGATGTGTATTTGGTATCTGGTTTGGAGTCTGAATCATGGCTGGTCATGTAGCTATGTGACCAGCACCATTTAACAACTTTTGACCTCAAGACTCTGATGGGTTTCCCTAAGTGGAGACATTTTTTCTTTGTCTTTAGGTCTACAGCTGGAGAGAAAAATGTATCCTTATGATCTTCTCAGAAGTAGGACCTAGAAAGCCTGCACCTGATTTTTCTAGTCTTTGCCTATGTGTAACTTTTTCTTCCTGTTCTTACACTGTATGCTTTGCTATAATAAATCTTAAGCCATGAATGTAACTTTTTTGTTGAATCATGCAAATCAGCAAACTAATGGGTTATTGTGTGCCTCTTTGAATATCTCTTCTCACTCCAAAATCCAGAAAGAATAAATATATCATATAAGAGACCTAAATTGCAATCGGGTCAAGAAAAGCTGTTAAATTCTAAATAAGCTGGTTTGCATAATACTAGGCAAACTATTTGGATAATAACACCTATAAGTCTTAATGAATTGGGTTTTGATCACCCTGAGGTATAAAATCATAGCATGAACACAGTGAATTTACTTACTTGGTTCAGGAGGGGACTGGTTATTTGAATTCACTAAATTTTCCTGTTAGCCATATTTTCAAAAGATTAGAATACATTAAAATTAACTCAGGATTAAACAGTGTTGATTATAGTTTATGCTCTGTGATGGCTGAGACAATGTTTACTTTGTTTCAGTGCTGAGCATAGGGCTTTTGATATAGGCACTCATTTATGAATGAGGTAAATATAGTTTAACCATTTTCTGTGAAGTTTTAAGATCCTTTAATACCAAGGTTTGTTTTCATTCCACCCTCCCTTTTAAAAAAGATTTATTTATTTTAGAGAGATAGAGAGTGCGAGCACAAGTCAGGGGAGGGGCAGAGGGAGAGACTCTCAAGCAGACACCTCACTGAGTGCAGAGCCCCACATGGACTTGATCATGGGATCATCACTTGAGCCAAAATGAAGAGTGAGATGCTCAACAAACTGAGCCATGCAGGCATCCCAGTTGTTTCCCTTTCCTGAATATTAATTCTTGTCATATTAAATTTTAAATTTAAAATTTTCGGATTCTACCTCTTAGTTAACATCTGTGACATTGAATTTCTCATTTTATCTTCCTATTACCTTTATGAGGAAGGTAAAGTAAGCACTATTATTTCCATTTTACAGAAAGAAAAATAAAGGCACAGATCAGCATGGTTGACTAACCAAAACTCCATGACTGTAATTAGAAGCAAAAGGAAGCCTAGAATGCACATCTCCTAAGTGTGCAAAGCAAATATTTTTAAATTTTGCATTGTGTAGAATATTAAGCATGTATTTATTCTCAAACGTAGATCAAAGTAGAAATTCCAAGACAGATGGATCTTATTACAATTATTTCTATAATATCAATGTTAATAACATCTAACATTTACAGAGTACTTTAAAAAAATCATAATAATATCTGATATTTACATTACTCCTTATTTTAATACTTGCATTTCTTCTATCAGAACATGCTACTTTATAATTGCAAAACATTTTCAGGGATCTTAACTCATTTAATTCTTGCAAAAATCCCAGTGAGGTCAAAGATATTTAAAAATTGGTAGTAGAGGCTTGAAAAGTTAAGTGTCTTGAGCAAATTTACAAGGTTGGCAGATGATAGCATTAGAACTAGCAGCACATATGTCACCTGACTCTGTAGAATATATACAGATAGAGCATACCTAATGATAAATCCAGTATCAATACCAATCTCTAAAAAAACAATAAAATGATGATGAATTATTTAAAAAAAAGGAAAAGTATCTGAATATTAGTTTTCCAAGAGATTACTCCAGGAAGTAATGATTACTACAAGGGTATATTCCTTATTCTTTTCATGAAATAATTCTCCAGGAACTAGAATGACTTTTCAAAGGCAGTTATTACATCTGACTGGAGGTAGAAGTACATAATGGGCACTTAAAAATAGTTCAGCACTTTTAATTATTTTTTAATGATCATTTCAGTAATTTTCCAAGGAGATCTGGCATAATCAACGAACCAAAACTTTCATGATTTCTTGCATATTTCTAGGCTAATTTAAGCCTTTCCTGCAAGTTTAATTAGCATTCAAATGGAGTAGACATTCCTCAGAGAACAAGGTTCTGACAGCATGTGCAAAATTAAGACCAAACCAAGCTTCTGTGGTTGGTTTATGTACTAATTTGGAGAAAGTGTACAAATGCAAGAGCCTCATGTAGAGTGAGGTAACCCTTAGTGAGAGAGCACTTCAAATTTCAGGGTTCCTGTTTAGAAGGATATATTCTTCAGAAGGGTCATTCTGACACTCAAATTAATTCCGCAATTAATTCTGGGAAAATTCCCAAGTTTTTTCCGAAATGGTTCAAGCTACACACTCAGTATATTTGGGAGCCATCTTGAAGATTAGGCAGGTCAGCAAACTTCATCCTGAGCCCTGACATTCCTTCAATTATTAAGGCAAATACCAATAGAATATGAGGTTTTTTCCTTCCTGTTTCCTACAGTGATTTGTGGAAATGATGAGCAAAAACAAAGCTGAATTTAACAACTTTTCATCTCTGCCAATATCTACTATGAATTAAATCCTCCTCTCTCAAAAGCAAAAGCAAAGCAATGTGGCAGGTAGTCTCATGCGTTCTTATTTCTGCTATTTCTCCTAATTATTCCTTTCTTTCCTCACTTGTGTTCACTGATCTGTTTTTATTATTGAGTGCTGGAGGTATGCGAGGAAGAAATTAGAAATGAGAAGGCTGTATCTACTCTGCATTTCACACTTTGTTAAGCAAATTTGCACTGCTTAGGGGCATGGGTGCTAAAGTTTCTATGAGTTATCTCAATTTCCAGTCCCTGCTGTTACTGGAACAAATTGAAAGGCCATTTTGGTGCATTAAGGCCATGTCATTTCAAATCTAACACTGCCCTAAAGGGGTCTTTAAAATGAGCTGTGGTTTGTACTTCCCATTTCAGTGAAAATGATTTCATATCACCAACCTGCCTGCTTTTAACTTGGACTAATTTGTTTGGGATTGCATATTCTTGGTTTCTATTATGTCAAAATCTCTCCTCCATTTTTCCTCCTCTACCTCTGATAGCTCCTCCTTTGATTCTTCTTCCTTGACCTCCTCCATAAATAATGGTATTTTCCAAAGTTATAGGCCTTGGCCCTCTTCTTTTATCTTTCTTAAGCTTCTAATGAAGTTGGTTTCCATATGTTTGTTCCCAAGATTTACCTCTAGTTCTATCCTCTCTCACAAACTAGACTAATTTCTTTCTATCTGTGCACCAGGTATCTCTACCCAGATGCCTTGAAATATCTTCTACTCTTAACTTTGTTTTACACCATCATTCCAGTTGATCACTTACTTCGATTCAGTAAATATGCCAAGCTCTGTCCTACTTCATGGCTCCAAGCCTTCATCTAAAATGCTGTCCTCTCCACCTTATTATTAAAGAAATATTTCACTTTATATTTTATAAAGGTCATGGCTGACAACCTTCCCCTTTCTCAACCCTCAAATCTAAATAAGTGCTGTTGCACCACACGCATCCCTAGCGAATTCCATTTTTATAGAAGTTAGCATATTTTGGAGTTTATGTATTTATTTAACTTCATTTGTTTATTATTTATCTCTTCCATCAGGCCAGTGAGTCTCAACTTTGGCTGCATTTTAGATTGTCTGGGAGCTTTTAAAAAATCTTGATATGTGAGCTCCACCCTAACCCACTGAATTGCTGGGGATGCAGTCCAGGCTTCTAATTTCAGGTGATTCTGATGTACACTGTGAATTGAATACCCTTGAACTAGATTGTAAGCCCTTGGAGGACAAGAATCATGTTTTTTTTTTTTGCTCACTGCTGATTATACCCAGTACTCAACACAGTGTCTGGACATAGTACTCAAAAATATTGACTTTTTAAAATAAATAATACTAGAATGTTCTAACTTTGGACTTACTGTAGTTTTCTGAACTTCCTCTGCAGGGAGTTTCCCTCTGCCTTAGCTCATGCTAATTCTTTCCTCTATCTGAAATGCCAGCTTCTTCTTTTTCTTTGTTCATGTAAATTCATTTTTTTGACTCTTTTTCTTTTTTTAAAGTAGCCCCATGCCCAGCACAATATGGGGCTTGAACCAACGAACTTGAGATCAAGACCTCAGCTGAGATCAAGAGTTGGACATTTAACTGACTGAGCCACCCAAGTGACCCCATGTAAATTCATTCTTTAAGACTTGCCTTGAATACCATCTTCTCCAGGAAGTCTTGCTAGTACCCCAGTGGGACAAGTGTCCTTACTCTGTGTCCTTTAACAGTTTGGGTTTATGTCTATCATAGCACCTAACACATTATTTTGGAATGATATAGGTGCTATTACTTGCTTGTGAACTCTCCAGGGTTTTGGATCATTTCTCTTTCTTTAAATTGCTCATCTTCCTCTAATTTTTATTCTGATTATTATTATTTTTTATCTTTTACTTTTATTTTTATTTAGATTTTATTTATTTGTCAGAGAGAGAGAGAGGAATACAAACAGAGGGAGCAGCAGGCAGAGGGAGAAGCAGGCTCCCTGCTGAGCAAGGAGCCCTATGTTGGACTCAATCCCAGGACTCTGGGATCATGACCTGAGCTGAAGGCAGATGCTTAACTGACTGAGCCACCCAGGTGTCCCTTTTTATTCTGATTATTGACTTCACTACTGATTTAGATTCCCAAGATATAAAACCCAAAGTCAGCATTCCTTCTCTCCTCCCTTAAGTTAGACATCAGAGATGTGCAAAAATATTCATTGTAGAGTTATTTTATAATAGCAAACATTTGAAAATTGATTTATAGATTATAATATTATGCAACTTTAAAAATAAGGTGGTAGAAGATAACTGAATAGTAAATAAAATGTAACTATGATATATAGTTATATGATAAAAAATAAATACAGTATGTCAGTTTTATAAAACAAGTTATCTATCCATCAGTCAGTATAAAAGATAGATTGCAATATATGAGTAGTGATTATTTCTGGGTGGTGGAATTTTTGTCTTTATGCTTTTTATGTGTTTTCCATTTTAAAAATAATGAGCATGTATTACTTTTGTAATCATAAAAATTACAGTAAAATTGGAAAGAATGTGGCATTAATTATCCACTAATTGGGTGAGCTAAATCGAGGTAACTGATAGCTTGCTGAAGATATAAAAAGGGCAGAACCACCTTTCACTTCTGTAACTTTTTTCTCCACTTTAAATATTTGGCATTAATGGGGTGTGATAATTGATGATTTACATTTATAAAAAGCAACTTTTCAGACTTCCCACACTTATATCCTATAGGTAATGAAATCCATATTGTCTTGTTCCAGTTTGAACTTAGAGTAGATTATTCTTTTATAAAACGCTATGTCATAATTATTTCTATACTATGGGATTCACCCTGGAAATTCTGTTTAAAGTATGTTCTTGACCTATATCTGAACTTAAATGTGTTTATTTACTAGTTGTGCATTCAAAAGATAGCATGCACTCACCTTTTTGCAGACAAAGTCACCAGGTAAATAAACAATGGATTTCAATCTTAGCAACATGTCATAAATCATCTGTGTATCACAACCCTAAAGAAAAAAAAATAACAAAGAGAAAAATAATTTTTATACAGCTACAAAGACAACATTCCAAATAATTTTAAAATGACATGAAAATAAGTAGTAATAAAAGTCTGTGTTAATTGGGGAGGGTATGTGCTATGGTGAGTGCTGTGAAGTGTGTAAACCTGGTGATTCACAGACCTGTACCCCTGGGGATAAAAATATGTTTATAAAAAAAAAAAAAGTCTGTGTTAATACTAAAATATTAATTGCCAATGGATATGGACTTGTTTTGACCCAAAATTTAGGAAGAAACCCAAACAAACCTATAGTGTGAATGCAAGACTTTGGAACCTGGTCAGATTTTTTTTTTTAAAAGATTTTATTTACTTATTTATTAGAGAGAGAGACAGTGAGAGAGAGCATGAAAGGGGAGAAGGTCAGAGGGAGAAGCAGACTCCCCGTGGAGCTGGGAGCCTAATGTGGGACTTGATTCCAGGACTCTGGGATCATGACCTGAGCCAAAAGCAGAGGCTCAACCAACCGAGCCACCCAGGTGCCCCAGATTTGGGTTTTAATCCTGTCTCCACTATCTATTACTACAGAACATTTTCTAATCTGTTAAGTGGGAGTTAAAAGTATACATTTCATAATGGTAAAAATTTTACTCATGTAAAACTTAATATAATGTTTAATTAATGATTGCTATTAATGCTTATGATAACATAATAGTGATAATAATTATTAGTATTAAGACTGACCTAGAGTAAAATAAAAATCTGAACATTTTTCTTTATCATAACATCTTTCATACAGTTGATATTATTATTTAACTTTCCAAACTTGTTTGTCTTTCTTTACCAACTTATTTATCTACTTTTTTTTTTTTAAAGATTTTATTTATTTATTTGACAGAGATCACAAGTAGGCAGAGAGGCAGGCAGAGAGAGAGGGGGAAACAGGCTCCCTGCCGAGCAGAGAACCCCATGTGGGGCTTGATCCCAGGACCCCGAGATCATGACCCGAGCTGAAGGCAGAGGCCTTAAGCCACTGAGCCACCCAGGCGCCCCCCAACTTATTTATCTTCTTAAAGGCAGAGTAACTGTACATAATGGATACAACAGCAATATCTGTTGAGTGAATGAGTTCATATCCACTTTAATAGTGTAAGAGACACATTTGATTTGTTAGAATAGGCATGTATATTTGTGTTGAAAACAAAGAATTATAATTTATCTCTATGATAGGCTAAAGAAAAATTGATAGATGCTTCAAAAATGTTACTTTATATAGTGGTTTGGAATCTTTTGCTTTCACCAAATATTTTAATTTTTTTCTCTCAGAACTGCTAGCATGTAGCCGCTTTCCTTTTGTGGTTGGTCCTTCCCATCCCTTAGGGGAATTATTATTTTGTGGAGAACTAATCATAGTCAGGAGCAGAGGAAGGAGGAGGAGATGTAAAGGGCACGCTCCCAATTTGTGGATTGGATAATCATTCTTTCGGCAATCACCAGTTTTCCGTAATGATTTCAGTAGCAAACACTTGACCTAGATCCATCTGAAATTTAGACTTCAGGGCTGTTTGACTGATAAGGAACGTTAATAATTTATGATTGAAGTATCTTCATGTAGCCATTGGTAAGGAGCACTCAAATGAACTTAAAGTCAGAATTTTAAAAATTTATGTGAGAAAATATAGCTTTTGGTTATCCAGGATAGAAAAAAAAAAGGCCAAGGGTGACAGGAATACCTTCTTAATACAGCCCAACCAATATTGATGAAAGGTTGTTATGAGCAAGCCTTTGTACATGCCCTTGGAGCTATGAAAGATGAAAGAAAGTAAGCTACTTGGGATGATATTTTAAGTCAACAGAAAAGCTGTAATTGATGGTAGAAGTGAATCACGTCATAAGACATTCCAGTTAAATATCCATAAAACTTTTAAGAGGTGGAGCAGTTACTACTTCCTGGGAGTGGGGACAGGAGAGAGGGGAAAGGACCAAGAATTTGCTCATGTGGATAACACAATTTGAATTTGTTGAAGATGGTATGATTTGTATTTGCAAAAACACAGAAAGATCCTTTTAGAGGTGAAGGAAAATTTACCTTTTCTTTCCTTGTTATGTATTTGTTTTGTGCAAGGTATATAATTTTTATTTATATCTGTTTTATTCTTACTGTGTCTCATAGGTTATCATATTTGCTAAAGAAAATGACAAACATTAATTTCTTTCTAAAAATTGTGGTTAGTTTGTTTTTAGTAAAAATTCTATAAATATATAGCTCATGTGCCTGATTTCTTTTTCTTTTCTTTTCTTTCTTTTTGATCTTATTTATTTATTTTAGAGATGGGGGTAGAGAGAGAGAGAGAGTGAGAATGAACAAGAAGACACCTGGGCTGAGGGCAGAGCTGGATTTGGGGCTCAGTCTCACAACCTTGAGGTCATGATCCTAGCCAAAATCAGGAGTGGCATGCTTAACTGGCTGAGCCACCCAGGCACCCCATCATGTACCTGATTTCTTTTCTTTTCTTTATTTAAATTTAAATTCAATTAGCCAACTTATAGTACATGATTAGTTTCAGAATGTAGTGTTCAGTAATTTATGAGTTGCGTAAAACACCCATTGCTTATCACATCACGTGCCCTCCTTAATGCCTGTCACCGAATTCCCCCATCCCCCCACCCACCTCCTCTCCAGCAACCCTCAGTTTTTTACCTGTAGTTAAGAGTCTCTCCTGGTTTTTCTCCCTCTCTGATGACTTCCCATTCAGTTTTCCCTCCCTTCCCCTATGGTCCTCTGCCCTGTTTCTAATATTTCACATATAAGTGAAATCATATGATAATTGTCTTTCTCTGACTGACAAATTTTGCTCAGCATAATAACCTCCAGTTCCATCCATGTTGATGTAAATGGTAAATGTTCCCTCTTTCTGATGGCTAATATTCCAGTTCCTGATTTCTCTTAAAGCTGTAATGGTTTGGAGTAATTTCATTTTGGAAATTGGTGTTCTGATCACTCAGAACTCTTAAAAAAACACAAACAAACTTTGGATTTATCGTAGGATCTCCCTCACTAAAGCAAGTTCATGTTCTTGATGTTTTAGAGAAAATTCATTAGAAATATACTTGGAAGTTCTTAAGCATAAACACATTTGAAATATCACTGTGATGAAACTAATTCTCAATCACTCATATCCATGGAGAAGAATAACACTGTAAATAATCAGAAACAGAAGACTGAAAAAACCTACTTACATTTGTGCAATTTGATTTTTTTGGCATTAATTTTTACAATCCTAGTTATAATTTGTAGGCCGAAATAAACTTTTCATTCCTTGAACAATTCCTATCACAATGAACTTTGATGAAAATTCCCAACTGTATTAAATTGTACTCATAGGAGTTATTAATGATTTTAAATGTTTTCCTATGAGCACAATTCTTGTCCTATAAATACACAGAAATGTGTGTGGCAGTACTGTTTTTAGTACTGAAAAAATTGGAAACAACATAATGTCAATCTGTGGACAGATAAAAATGTTGAGTAATTGTAGGTTGGAATACCATAGAGTGGTTAAAATAAATAAATCAGACCTTTCTTTGTATATAGATATGATTGAACTCAACAAAAAATTGAGCTGCACACAAAAGCAAGATGTAGAATACAATCAATATGACTCTAGCTATGAAATACACAATACACTACACAAAATAGTCATTGATGTTTGTATAGATATAAAGTAAAATTATAAAAATGAGGACTGGAAGGATACCCTTGAAATCATCTTTGTGGTCCCTTCTGGGGAAGGTGGGAGACTAGAACTGGAGAGAAGAACTGATGAGATGTCAGCTTGACTTTTATTAATTTTAATGAAAATGAAGTAAAACACATATCTCAAGATTGTTTGTAGGAACAGAATGCCATTTGAGGAAGAACACATTTCATCTTTTCTCTTCTACCTTCAGGTTAGCTCACTGGCAGAAAGCACTAATAAAGGAAACCCAATCCATGGAAGTGTTAGACCAAACTAGCAGAGGAGCTCTAAAATAGATAAGCAAACAATTACTGCTTTCCTCAGTAGAAATGTGCAAGTGCCTACATGAATAACTTTTAGCTTATAGCTTGGATTTCCTCAGAGAAAAACATCTGAACTGTTATAAATATGAATTTTTATTAACACATTTGCATAGACTGTGTATCAATTTATGTAAATGGCACATAGCAGCTGTATGTAATAAAAACTTATAGTTTAAGTTTTACCAATTAAGTGATTCTGTCCCCTAATTGTTTTATGGACAGGTGCCATTGGCCTTGGGGCAGCTGTGATGGAGAACTAGGTCCTTCTCATCTGTACTTAGGCTTAGTGAATGCCATTTGCATTATGAAGTTGTTATAGTTTGTGTCTGACAACAATTATCTCCACCCCCTACCCCTCAGAAATGATTATTTTCTTGAGATACACTTTGTTCCACTATTGTGTGATTAAAAAGAATTACATCCCAGGGCTAGTGTTTTTACTTTGTAATGCAGCTCCATTTCTTTTATAGAGGCCATTAGGAAATTTTCTGATTTACAGAAGGTCAGAGCTCAGTCATTGTTTCATAAATGTCCTTTTAAAAAATAAAGTGAGAGTACCTGCACTAGTATCAACAGTAACATCATATTAATAATATTTGTATTAAATTTTGCTATTTTCTTATCTTTACCTGTTTTATTCTTTTAACCTTCCTGTGATGCCTGGCATTAATTACTATATTATCACTCCTGGTTTTTAGATGAGGGTATGGAAGCTCAGGAGGTCTATTGACTACTTCCCTAAGGTCACACATGCAATAGATGTCAGAGAAAGAGAATCACCAAAGTGTACGTGTTGTTTTTGTCTTCTAAATCTACATTTGGAGCAACTGAGGGTAAGACCTGTGTATTACTCACTTCTGTACCCTCAATGTCTCACCACTGTTTGGGGCACGCTAGGCACTAGGTAAATATGTGGTGATGTATAAAATGAAGTTGTTAGATATTAT